CCGTTTCTCTTAAGTCTGGCAATTAACTTATTCTTTATGGGTACTTAGGTTTTAAGATTTTCTTTTTATCCCTTCATGGTCTCTAGTTTCAATATGATGTGTCTAGGGATTGATTTGTTTTTATTTATCTTGCTCAGAACTCTGGGTGCTCTTTTAATTTGAATACTTGAGTCTCCTTTCATCTCTGGAAATATTTACATTGTTGTCTCTTTGAAAATTGCCTTTTTCCCATCCTTCCTAGTCTCTCCTGGAACTCCATTGGAATGTAAGCTCCCTGAGGGCAGAGTATTGTTTTTTGTTTTTTTGTTTTTTGGTGGTAACATATACATAATGTAAAATTTACCATTTTAACCATTTTTAAGTGTACGGTTCAGTGGTAATAAGCACTTATGTTGTATGTTTTAGATAACAGTCCTTTATCAGATGTGTCTTTTGCAAACCTTTTCTCCCAGTCTGTTGCTTGTCTTTTCATTGGCTTGACATTGTTGTTCACAGAGCGGAAGTTTTTTTGAAGATCTCCTTGGCTTTATTCAGTGATTCATGAAGCGGGCAGCATCCCATCTAGCAAGTAGAGAGAGACTCCCAGAAGATTTTTTTTTAATGAAGTCTTATCAATGATCTCTTTCATGGATTGTGCCTTTGATGTTGTATCTAAAAGGTCACTGCCAAACCAAGGTCATCTAGGTTTTCTCCTATGTTATCTTCTAGAAGTTTTATAGTTTTGCATTTTACATTTAGATCTATGATCCATTTTGAGTTAATTTTTGTGAAGGGTGTAAAGTCTGTGTCTAGATTCATTTGTTTGCATGTGGATGAATGTCTCATTGGTCCCGCACCATTTGTAGAAAAGATTGTCTTTGCTCCATTGAATTGTCTTTGCTCCACTGTCAAAGATCAGTTGAATATATTTGAGTCTATTTTTGGTTTCTTTATTCTGTTCCATTGATCTATTTGTCCATTATTTTGCCAGTGCAACAACTACCTTAATTACTGTACCTTTATAGTAAGTCTTGAAGTCAGGTAGTGTCAGTCTTCCAACTTAGTTCTTTTCCTTCAATACTGCATTGGCTGTTCTGGGTCTTTTGCTTCCCCACATAAACTTTAGAATCACTTTGTTGATATCCACAAAATAACTTGCTGGGATTTTGATTGAGATTGCATTTAACCTATAGATCAAGTTAGGAAGAACTGACATCTTGATAATATTGAATGTTTCTATTCATGAACATGGAATATCTTTCCATTTATTTAGTTCTTTGATTTTATTCATCAGAGTTTTATAGGTTTCCTCATATAGGTCTTGTAAATTTTGTTAGATTTATTCCTAAGTATTTATTTCCTTTTTTGGGGGTGCTAATGTGAAAGGTGTTTTTAATTTCAAATTCTACTTGTTCATTGCTGGTATATAGGGATGTGATTGACTTTTGTATATTAGCCTGGTATCCTGTAACCTTGTTATAATTGTTTGTATTAGTTCCAGGAATTCTTTGTTATTTTTTTTCCAGGATATTTTTTGATTTTTTTCAGATTTTCTACGTACATAGTCATGTCATCTATGAACAAAAGACAGTTTTATGGGCTGGCCCCATGGCTTGGCGGTTAAGTGCGCACAATCCGCTACTGGCAGCCCGGGTTTGGATACTGGGCGCGCACCGATGCACTGCTTGTCCAGCCATGCTGAGGTGGCGTCCCACATACAGCAACTAAGAAGGATGTGCAACTATGACATACAACTATCTACTGGGGCTTTGGGGAGCAAAAGGGAAAAAAAAAGGAGGAGGATTGGCAATAGATGTTAGCTCAGGGCCGGTCTTCCGCAGCAAAAAGAGGAGGATTGGCATGGATGTTAGCTCAGGGCTGATCTTCCTCACACACACAAAAAAGACAGTTTTATTTCTTCCTTCCTGATCTGTATACCTTTAGTTTCCTTTTCTTGTCTTATCGCATTAGCTAGGGTGGCAGAATATTTTTTATCCCATTTTGTTCAATGCTATAACCCCAGGACCTAAAATTCAGTGTCTGGTACATCATAAGCACTCTATAAAGTTTTGAAAGAGTGAAGCATGAATGTTATGTCTCTTAATACCTTTTACATATTTTTTATCTCTTTATCAGCCATATGCCTTGGTGATTTGTTTGGATTTATCTTCTAATCTATTATATATTTAGCTGCTTTAGTCTGCTATATTCAATGCACTATTGAGTTTTTTATTTTAGTGCCTGTTTTTCTTTCCAAATCTGCAATTTAGGGAAAAAAAAATCCTAGTTTTAGTCTGTGGAAGACCTTTCATGCTACCCTATGCCTAGCTCCTTGAGTATTCCTCACTGCTGGTGGTGGTTTTGTGTGCTGTGTAATCTCTATCTCCTACTCACCTCTGCGGAGAGATCTTCCAGGCATGCTCTGGGTTGTAGAAGCTCCCCTGAGCAGTTTCCCAGTTGCCTTTGCAGGGCCCTACCAGCATCACGCATACTAGACCCATGTTTGGTTTTTTTGCTGAGGAAGATTCTCCCTGAGCTAACATCTGTGCCAGTCTTCCTCTATTTTGTATGTGGGTCGCTGCCACAGCATGGCTGCCGATGAGTGATGTAAGTCTGCGCCAGGGAACCGAACCCAGGCTGCCTAAGTGGAGTGTGCTGAACTTAACCACTAGGCCATGGGGCTGGCCCCCATACTAGACCCATTTTTATGTTAAGTTTCTTGGCTCTGGATTTGGGGCACCACAGCCTTCTAGAGCAGATTTCTTGAGGGTGATTCTGTCTTCCCAATGGCTTCTGGTGGGCGTTTGCTGAGGGCTCAGTCCTGGGCTAGCCAGTGGCGAAGCTCGGATGATGATGGTGCTGTGACAGCAGACACTCTGGTCTGCTCTGGGTGATGCCTGCTCTTTCTCCTCAATGGTTAGAACTACCCTATGAGGCTGGTCCTCTGTCCCTAGGAACCAGAGTGTGGATGAGAGGTTGCAGTCACTTGCTGTAGTAAGTGGTAGAGCCAGAATTCCAGCCCAGGCAGTGGCCTCCACACTCTCTGCTCTGAACCACTGTGGCTGGCTGCTCTCCACACCCTTCTGACCTGCTGTGGGCTCTGCGCAGGGAGCCCAGGCAGGCCCAGGCCCTTGTTTTGTGCCTCAGCTCTGTGTTCTGGCTGCCAAGCCCAGCTCTTGAAGCCTGGAGTCCTGCCCCAGGCAGCCTGTGCCCTCTAAGGCTGATTGCTACCTGAGTGCCATCAGGTAGTTGTTTTTTTTGTCCAGTTAGTCTGACATGAGCTAGAATAGGAACCTACTCTGATTTACTTTTAAGAAAAATATTGTGTGAGTCAAACAGAACACTTTTATGTATGTTCCGGTGTCAAAAGGTGATCTAGGGCATGTGAAGCTAAACTGGAACTTGGGGTTGTTAAATTTGCTGTTTTTTTCCTCTGTCCCCACCTCAGCTGTCTGGCTTCCCCCCCAGTCATGTCTGTGGAAACTGCAGATTGCAGACACTGGCAGCCCCTTATTGCTGCACATCACTTTCTTGACCTCGATGCTATTGGCATTTTTGGCCAGATAATTCTTTGTTGTGAGAGCTGTGCTGTGTGTTGAAGGATGTTTAGCAGCATCCTTGACCGTCCCCAGTAGATGTGAGTAGTAGCCCACTGGTGGTGGTAATCAAAAATGTTTCCAGATAGTGTTAAATGTCCCTGGGGAGCAAAATTGTCCCCAGTTGAGAACTGCTGTTGTATATCAGTGGGCAGCTCTGGTCCTTACTCTCAACTTCTCCCTGGAGTCTGATGCTCTTGGTTGCACTTTCTTGGGAGGTGGCCGTCGTAGTGCACCCTTGGCGGATGTCTTCCCAGCTGGAACAGGTGCCTGCGTGTTCCCTGTTGCTAGCTGCTCTTTGGGGTTTTGGCGCTTTTACTGGCTGTCCCTGACTGGGGACTGTAGCTGTGCAGTGAAGATCCCACATCACCACATTGCAGCCAGAGGGGTCTTCCTAAAACCAACCCCCTCTGTACTTGGGCCTCATGTGGCCGGTGTGGCCTGTTGCAAGTAGTGCATGTTATGGCTCAGCAGTGTTGCCCTCCACTAGTTCATCTTCAGGTGATAGCTAAATAAATTTACCGTTATTGCAGTGCTCCTTGTCATAAGCTTGTAATTTGGACCAGGGCAAGGAGTGGGGTGCAGAGGGTAGAGATTGGAGTACTAGCCTGAGCATAAACCAGAACTGCTTTCTCACTTTCTTAACTCTTGGCTTTTTGCCCCCCACCACTGCCAACAGTCAGGAACTAATACTGTGCCAGGCATTGAAAGATCTGGTTTTAAACTTTGATGACCAGGTAACCTTGGGTGCATCGCTGAACCTCTGCCTGGGAGTCATCCTCAGCTGTGACAGGAGGGACTGTTTGTTTTCTTTTTAAGCTCTTTTATCCTCTTGCACAGGCCTGGCTTTGTGTTAGCTGCCTCAGGCGCATGTACTGGCAGCAGGTGGTAATCTCAGCTTTAAGAGTGATTAAGGAGGGCTGGCCCTTGGCTTAGCGGTTAAGCGCGCGCGCTCCGCTGCTGGGGGCCCGGGTTCGGATCCTGGGCTCGTGCTGACGCGCCGGTTCTCTGGCCTTGCTGGGGCCGTGTCCCACATGCAGCGGCTGGAGGGATGTGCAGCTGTGACATACAGCTGTCTACTGGGGCTTTGGGGGGAAAAAAAATTTAAGAGTGATTAAGGAGATTGAGTAATGTGTCCATGACCACATTGCTTGTTAGTGGTGGTGGAACCACTTAAGTTTCCTTGCCTCACTTTTGTGTTCTCCCCTTTAAAAATTAACCCTTTTCCTTTCCTTTCAGCTTTATCATTTTGTGATTCTGTCATTTTTGTGGTATTAGAACTGCCTCCTGTGACCTAAATCATTTTATATAAAACACCATAAATTGCCTCAAAAAAAACCCCCACAAAGCTGTAGAGGTGTTAGCATACTTATCTTAGGTTTTAAATATATGTTTCTTTTTGTTTTTGTTTTTCTAATACTGTAGTGTTCTAAGAACGGAAGCATCTGGGCTGAATGGAATTTAGCATCAAAAAAAGTCCTCTTTCTGTTCAGAAAGTTGTAAAGTGCATAAAGATGAAGCAGACACCAGAAATCCTTGGCAATACAAATGGAAAGACTCAGAACTGTGAAGTGAATCGTGAATGTTCTGTATTCCTCAGCAAAGCCCAACTCTCTACCAGTCTACAGGAGGGGGTCATGCAGAAATTTAATGGCCACGATGCACTTCCCTTTATTCCAGCTGAGAAGTTGAAAGATCTAACTTCCCGTGTGTTTAATGGAGAACCCGGTGCTCACGATGCCAAATTGCGTTTTGAGTCCCAGGAAATGAAAGGAATTGGGACACCACCTAACACTACCCCTATCAAAAATGGCTCTCCTGAAATTAAGCTGAGAATCACCAAAACATACATGAATGGGAAACCTCTCTTTGAATCTTCCATTTGTGGTGATGGTGCTGCTACTGTGTCCCAGTCAGAAGAAAATGGACAGAAACCAGACAATAAGGCAAGAAGGAATAGGAAGAGAAGCATAAAATATGACTCCTTACTGGAGCAGGGCCTTGTGGAAGCAGCTCTGGTGTCCAAGATCTCGAGTCCCTCAGATAAAAAGGTATTTATGAGGAGTTCTGTCTGGGGCAGGGTAGAGTGCAGCAGCCAGTTCCAGTGAACAGAAGAACCATGTGAGGACACCTCCATGTGCTGGGTGGCGAGGGGAGGAGGTTGGGACAGGCTACCGTGTGTCTGCTCTCCAGGTCGCCCTGTCTGCACATGGCTGATGATGGAACCTTGGCTGTGGCTTGGGCCCCCAGCTCCACGATACCCTGATGTTCCTTCCTTTAGGCCTCACAGTGGCCTGCTGAGCCATTTGTGAAGCCTAGAGAGGTTAACTAAATGTTCAAGATTAAAATGGCTAAAAAGAGGTAAAACCAGTTTCTGAACCCAGTTCTGACCATTTCCAGAGCCCTTAACCTTCAGAATATCCTGTTTTCATGTATCCCCTCTCAAAAGACGTTCTTTAGCCTGAGTATGGTCAATGGAGGTTCATTGGGATCTAGCGTGGGACTTCTTTAATCTGTACCATCTAAGGAGTGGGAAGCAGAGCTGTGCTGTACAGAAGTGCTCCGGTCATCTTTCCCACATGGTTCACTGTCCACTTACCCATCTCTTCTACCGGGTGGTCCCACAGATTGTTGGTCTCATTAAGGATTGGGGCTGTGTCTTACATCTTCATGTTCTTGGTTCCCAGCACAAAGCCTGACACTTGAACACACATGAATGAGCGTTCACACATCAAAGGCTGGGGTGGAGAACCCTAACTTATGACGAAAGAACATGGTGCTTTATGTCACCATGTCTTAAAGTGACACTCAGGATGGCCCACCGCTTAAATGAGTATAAGCCATGTAAAACAGGCAAGGAAACTTGGCCTTGGTAGAAGGAACTAAGGAGGGTGCTACAGCCTCTCCTGTTCATTTAGGGGTAGACAAACAGGGTCTAGAAGCTGTCTGGTACTCCTTGGGCTTTAGTTGAAGCTCCAGGTCCACTTGCAGGAGTGGGGAGAGGGAACCTGAAACAATTTGGGTTGGTATCATCACCAAGGTTGGAATATTTAGTTTAAAATTATAGTTGAGTTTTATTTACAATTTCCTCAGATATGAGGGAAAACGGTCAAAATTTCCTTGAAACTGTTAAAATAATGAAGAATTTTGAGGTTTTGAAAAAATGTTTTTTGAGTCCTTAGGAGCTGTTTAGCTCTTTCTAATGTAATTATAATGGTGAATTTTTTAAAAGACCAGCTTGGTGATCTGGGCTGATTCAATGGTTTTTGAAGTGCCCATGGTTGTGGTGAACTTCACTCTTTCATGTCGAAGAGGCTGGTGCCTGTTATTCCTAGCTCTGCCATTTAGTTTTTTAAAAACTTGGAGAAGCCACCTAAATTTTGACTCTCTGTTTTTAGAGTGAGGATGATAATACTCATCCTCATGGGGTTGTCATGTGGCTTTAGATGACACAATAAATGTATAAGACTGGGATGCTGTGGAATAATCTGAGACCTATCAGTTTTTTTTTTTTTTTTTTTGTGAGGAGGACCAGCCCTGAGCTAACATCCAATGCCAATCCTCCTCTTTTTTGCTGAGGAAGACCGGCCCCGGGCTAACATCATGCCCATCTTCCTCTACTTTATATGGGACACCTCCACAGCATGGCTTAACAAGCGGTGCATTGGTGCGCACCCGGGATCCGAACCTGCGAACCCCGGGCCGCCGCAGCGGAACGCGCGCACCCAACCGCTTGCGCCATGGGGCCGGCCCCAAGCTATCAGTTTTCGAAAGTGTGTAATGTGACAGCTCTGTGCCAGTCCGCACCATCATGCACACTGGTCTTTGTACCAGCCAGTGAGATTTCAAGGCTTTTATCCTTGGTTAACAAATAAGAAAACTGAGGGGGGCCAGCCTGGTGGCGCAAGCGGTTAAGTGCGCGCGCTCTGCTGCGGCAGCCCAGGGTTCGCCGGTTCAGATCCCGGGCGCGCACTGACACACCACTTGTTGGGCCATGCTGTGGCGGCATCCCATATAAAGTGGAGGAAGATGGGCATGGATGTTAGCCCAGGGCCAGTCTTCCTCAGCAAAAAAGAGGATTGGCAGATGTTAGCTCAGGGCCAATCTTCCTCACAAAAAAAAAAAAAAAGAAAGAAAGAAAAAGAAAACTGAGACCCAAAGAAGTTCAGCAATTTGCCCAAGTATGTGGAGCTCTTAGGGGGAGGCTCAGGAATTGACTTAGGAAGTAGTCAGGGGCCATGCTGACTGTGCTTGTCCCACTGGAGAGCAGAACAAAGAGTGGTATGGGCGGGAGATTGCTCTTGTCAGGTGTTTAGCCTCTGACTGATCTGTGTTCTAAGATGGAAGAAACTGAGCCTCAGAGAACCCCAGGACTCAGATCACAAGTGGTAGAGCTGAGACTCACTCCCAGTCCCTCCTAATGTCCTCGCCTTGCCACATTGGCTCCTTTCACATTGGATGATGCAGATGCTGCAGAGAACTGATAGACCCCTGGCTGAGGGGCGGGAGGGTCAGAGTATGGATTCGGGGTTCTGTGAGAATTCTTCTCTGACCAGGTACATAAAGCATCGTTAAAGACCATCCACTGGGCTAAAGAAATAGATTTATGTAGAGAACTTCATAATGTTGAGCACCTACTGTGTGCCAGGCTTTAGCTTTAGATATGCTGACCCTTTAGCTAAGGGCAAGAGATAATTTCCATAAAGTGATATCAGGGCTATCATCTAAAAAACAGTGAGGGGAAGCATGCTCCTTTTTTAGGAGTGTGTGTGTGTGTATGTGTGTGTGTGTTTTGAACCTCTAGCCTGGTTAATCCTTGGATAGAAGGCTGGATTTAGGGGTAGTTGTTGGATGTATTAGTATATGTCTTTTGTTGTTGTTCATTTTCAGATTCCAGCTAAGAAAGAGTCCTGTCCAAATACCAGCAGAGACAAAGACCACCTGTTGAAATACAATGTCGGCGATTTGGTGTGGTCCAAAGTGTCTGGTTACCCTTGGTGGCCATGCATGGTTTCTGCCGATCCACTCCTTCACAGCTATACCAAACTTAAAGGTATTGTGTTTTGGGGCTGTTTTTCTTTCTCTTCTGCACTTAATCTTTCTCATCTCCAAACTTCTTTCTTATTCTTCCTTAAACAGCTCTCCTGTGTTTTTTTTTTTTTTTCCCCTCCTTTTTTTTATTGTGTTAAAAAACACATAACATAAAATTTACCATCTTAGCCATTTTTAAGTGCACAGTTGAGTGGTGTTGAATACATTCACATTGCTGTGCAGCCATCACTACCGTCCATCCCCATAACTCATTTATCTTGTAAATCTGAAACTCAATACCTATTAAACACTAGCCTCAGTCTCCCCTCCCCCCAGCCCGTGGAAACCTGCATTCTGCTTTGCTTTCTGTAGTTTTGATTTGCATTTCCCTAATGATTAGTGATGTTGAGCATCTTTTCACGTTGCTTATTGGCCATTTGTGTATCTTCTTTGGAGAAATGTCTATTTGAGTCTTTTGCTCATATTTGAATCGGGTTTTTTTGTTGTGGAGTTTACTGTGGTTCATTTTTGCAGCTTTACCTAAACTTAATGATTGATTCAGATGTGACACATTGTCATTTCTTTTTATCTCCAACTCATATATGTACTTTATGTGATCGAATTAGTATTAAAGGAGAAGTGGTCTTTGCCTTGTATTGCTTTTCAGGTTTTATGATAAACATTTTATTGTTATTTAGATATACCATGATTGCATATTTCAGCATGATTTTCAGAAATAGTACTTTATACTAAGTTTGAGTTATAAAAATGTCCCAGTTTATTTTATTAGGCCCGTGGGAAGAAGGAAAAAGACTAGAAATGATCATCTTTGGTGTTATGAAACTTGGGAATATAAAACTGGTACATGGAACAGTTGAAGAACATATTAAGAATGTAATATAAAAACTCATGTTTTTCGAGGAAAAAAGCAAGAGATCAGATGGTTTTAAATTCTTCTGGAAAGTTCTTCAGGAGTAAAGTTTGAATTTAGTTTGAGGAAGGTGAGATGTGGTGAGTGGAGAGTTGGAACTGAGCCAGTTAGTGCTCCAGGAGACCTGAGTACCCTTCAGAAGTGGGGGCGACTAGAGCCGTGAGCTGGGCCAGGCAGCTGCTCTGGCCCAGTACTGCTGACCAGCCAGCCTTGTATGGCCTCTCAGCAGTATGTGAGTACATGTTCCCTCCTGGTCTTAGGCTGGAGGCCTGAGCTCTCACAGGAGCAGCATTGCTTCTCTCGCTACAGGTTTGGGTCCTGTCGGCTGGCCGTGGGAGCAGGTAGCTGCTGGGAGTGGGGTATGGTGGAGCCTCCCTGGCAAACAGAGACTTGAGAGGGGGTGGGTTCAGGATGAAGAAGACCTTGCTTGAGTCCTGAGTGCCCCTGCCTGAGTCCTGCCCAGGCCTCCTACCCCCGGGGGTGGTTGGACTCTGCCTCAAGGCTCAGGCATGGATGTGTGCTCCACAGGACTTGTGGTGGCTGGAGAAGAGCCTAGGAACTGGCTTCAGCTCTGACTGCATGGGGGAGGACCTTTGGCATCCTTAGCTTGCCAGAATCAGGGGAGTTCCATCCTTCGGGGACCCCAGGATACACCCTAGAGGCATCTAGACTTGGTCAGAGTATGAAAAAAAATACCAGTTGAGACAGAAGCTGGGCTGTCTCCCCTTTGGTTGGGAATAGGCCTTCATGCCTTGGCAGTCCAGGTGCAAACACACGGATGTGTATGAGGTGTTGCTGGTTCCTTCCCAGCTCTCTAAAACTGGGCATGGTCCTCACATAGCTAATCAAAAGTAGAAGTCAGCGTGAGCTTCGTGCCTTCTGTGTCATTTGTCTGCATAGCACATCACAAGCAACTTCCTACTGATGCTTTTTTAGTGTCTTGGGATTTCTACTTTGTTTGTATGGAGCTCCTAGTATCTCAGACCTTTGTATCTGAAGGAGTCTTTTGAATGTCTTTTTGTTCCGGCTACCAGGGTTTATTACCTCAACTTTAATTTTATCACATCTTACCCCTAATTTAGAGTTAAATAATTCCTGTAGTCTACAACAGCCTCTCTGAATGACATTCAGATGCACTACCATTTTTATCCATCTCTCACTTCCTGTGTCTTTTATTCCTGGGCCCTTCACTCTAGTTAAGCACTTTTATTCTTTTGCTTAAGACGTTGCAGTATTATTCTCCAAGTTGAGGCATGGGCTCTGGAGTCAGCCTGCCAGAGTCCAACTCAGTTGGTTGATCTGGTAATGAACTACTTAATTTCTTTAAGCTTTAGTTTCCCCATGTATGAAAAAATGAGGCTGATGATAACACCACTTGTTTGGAAGGTCTTAGCACAGTGACTAGTGAGCACTCAGATGTTAGCAATTGTTGTCATCATCCTCTTTTTTGACTTTTAAAACTTGAATTTTTATTGTAACTACCTCCTCTCCCCTGGTCACCTGTAGGGCTCTTTCCTGAAAACATTCCTGTTTGACGAGTTATTTCCCTGCAGGATCTTAGTGTTTGCTCATTTAATTTTAATAATTTTGTACCCATTTTTAATGCCTTTATGTCACCACATATTCCCTCAGTTTTCACAACAATGCCAAGTGATTACACTTGCATTCTATCTTGGTTTTTTTTTGAAATATTTTATTTATTGTTTGCTCTTTTTTTTTTTTTTTGTGAGGAAGATCAGCCCTGAGCCAACATCCACGCCAATCCTCTTCCTGCTGAGGAAGACCGGCTCCGAGCCAACATCCATCGCCAATCCTCCTCCCTTTTTTCTCTTTCCCCAAAGCCCCAGTAGATAGTTGTATGTCATAGTTGCACATCATTCCAGCCGCTGTATGTGGGACGCAGCCTCAGCATGGCCGGAGAAGCGGTGCGTCGGTGCGCGCCCGGGATCCGAACCCGGGCCGCCAGCAGCGGAGCGCACGCACCCAACCGCTAAGCCACGGGGCCGGCCCTCATTTGTTTTTTTATTTAAAAACCTTTCAAGCCCACCGTTCCAAGTGGGACAGTACAGTGGACACCCATCCACTCTCACCTAGATCTGTCAATCTTAAACATTTTGTTTTATCTGCTCCATCTCTTTCCTTCTCTATATAAACACACTCCCCTTCGCCAACTCATCTGAATGTAGGCTGTAGATGTCATGGCACTTCACCCCATGTCAGCAGGGATCTTATAAGAATAAGGACAGCTTCCTAACTGACCTAGCACCCCAACCACATTGAAGGAAACATTACATTAGTAACATCGTGCACAGTTACCATCCTTGCTCAGATTTCCCCAGTAATCTTCAGTGTTTTCCCGTACCTGCTTTTTGCTTCACTCTGGGATTGAACAGTCTGCCTGTGTTGCATTTGGTTGTCATGCCTGTCCAGGCTCCTGCAGTTTAGAACAGCACTCCCCACTCCTAGCTCCCTTCTTGACTGCTCTGGTCTCTCATGATCAGACTCAGGTCTGCATGGCCAGGCAGGAGCACCATGGAGGTGTTATTGTGGGAAGGGTCTCACACTTGGCCCTTTACTGAAGACTTTCTTGCACGAAGAAGGGGTGCAACCCCAACAGTGCTTCTCTAGGAATTGTTTTGGGGTGCAGGGGAGGGAGCCCTTGTAATCACAAGCAAATCACCTTTAGAAAACTGATAATGTGTGTTTGAAAAGCAATTCAGAAGGAAGACAGCTGGGGTGAAACACCCTCCAGCTGGAAGGAGATTCAGATGACTTTGGAAAAGAAAAGAGGTCAGAGGAACCTGGGAGAAGAACGTGGGGGTGACAGAAGGACATATGTACTAGTTGAATCGCGTCAGGAGCTCCTGGTGTCAGATGTCCCACATCCCAGTAGGTGGTGGCAAACAGAACTCTCCAGTGGAAAGGCACGGTCCCTTTTTGTCATTAATGAATGATCTGTGGCCATGCTTGGAGGCCAGGTTCCCTGATAGCCTTTCCCTGTGGTTTTAGTACTCCTTGATGATCTATTGGCTTATAAAATGGTAACTGTCCATTTTTATCAGGTTTTCTGTGTTTAATTAGCTGACAGTTTTCTGTGAAAGTAAGCTCCTTCCTAAAAATATTAGGTATGTATTACAGTCCTTTCTCTTCTTAATGTTCAGATTGTCCCAAATGTGGCCAGTGGGAGTCCGATTAAGTCCCTTTCAGCTGTGTCCTTTTTTTTTTTTTGCTGAGGAAGATCAGCCCTGAGCTAACCTCCATGCCAATCCTCCTCTTTTTTTGCTGAGAAAGATTGGCCTTGGGCTAACATCCGTGCCCATCTTCCTCCACTTTATATGGGACTCCGCCACAGCATGGCCTGACAAGTGGTACATCGGTGCGCACCCGGGATCCGAACCCAGGCTGCCAGCAGCGGAGCGTGCGCACTTAACCGCTATGCCATGGGGCTGGCCCCAGCTGTGTCCTTTTGACATGTCTCAATCAGCACTTCCTTACATGTGGCCCAACAAGATGTTCCAGGCTCATTTTGTTTGCCCCAGTCTTGGAATTGGCCATTGCTTGGAGGGTCGTTTTAGTAGAGAATGGTATGTAGAAGCCCAGATCCTGGGCACTGGTTGTATCATTGCAATGGGAGAGAATCTACCAGAGCTGTGTGAAGTAGGTCTCCAGGCAGTGCTGAGACCTGGCTCCGAGTGGAGCTGTTGGGTCCATTTATGATTCCCCAACACTTGGCATGCAGCGCCCCCATGGTGGGTGTAAGATGGCGAGTGATGGGCATGCTTTGGGGGTTTAGGTATCCTTGTTGGGGAAGGACAGGGACATTCAGAAAGGATGGCTTCTGGCGTGGAGCTGGCTGAGCATGGGGTCTTGTGAAGCAGGCACTTTTTTTCCCTGTAAGATGGAACTCCCTCACCCTACCCCCTATTCCCACCCCAAATTTTCTTTCTTTCTTTCTTTTTGTGTGTGTGTACTTCTTTTTATTTATCATGCTTGGGATTTACAGACATGCTTGAATCTGGATCTTGGTAATGCACTTAAATTTTCAAAATAGAAGTATAATATACAGGCAGAAGAGAACACAACTTATAAGC